TCCCCGAACCCTAAACACTATCAGTGCCCGCTTAGTGCCAGGTTTAATATAGTTTTTTTTTTTTTTGCTTTTTGGGTCACACCCGGTGATGCACAGGGGTTACTCCTGGCTCTGCACTCAGGAATTATCCCTGGCGGTGCTCGGGGGACCACTGCGTGCAAGGCAAACGCCCTACCCGCTGTGCTATCTCTTCAGCCCCTTAATATAGTTTTTAAAGATGAATTCCTCCTCCTGATTACTAGTGCTAATACACATAAAGAAGTGCTGAAAGTCCAAAAGTCATATTCATGACTTCAAAAATCTTGGGGCAGGAGCCAAAGCTATAGTACAGCCAGTAGGGCGCTCGCCTTACTTGTGGCTGACTTGGGTTCGATCCCCAGAATCCCATATGGTCTCCCATCAGTTGTGTTCCCTGAGTGCAGAGTAACCCCTGAGCACTGCCCTTCTCCTCACGCCCCCCAAAACCCAGGGCATTGGATTCTCTTTACTGGCTGCTGTGCAGAAGGTGCCACTGGGAGCACTGAGAAGCACGGCTAAATCAGGACTAATTTCCTAAGTCCTTAGGAGGGGTACATGTGAGAATTATTCGACCCCAAATGTCAGAAATTCGAGTCTCAGCAATTTGGTGCCCGACTGGTTTGCATATATGCATCTGGTGCATGACTCCTGCGTATGGCCCACTCAAGTCACCTGATGAATCAACTCTGTGGATCCGTCATTTCGCTGCAAACACTTGAGGACCCCCATGAGCCTCTGCGTGCCAGGTCTCTGCTAATCTGGCACCATGTTCGGCTGAATTTACTTTCCCACCGTAAGATCATTTCACACTGACTTTCATTTTCTGCAGGTGCTGCAGGCAGCAGAGTGAAAGCAAGCAAAGCTTTGTTTCTTGGTACTTCCCGTGTTTAGCATCCTTCAGGGAATACACCATTTTGCCCCCTTCGGTCTGAAAAAAATATATAAGCTTCCTTTCTCTCCTCTTTAATTTCCCAAGTTATGATTCGCAAACCAGACACAGAAGTCTTAAATTGCCAAATTACGTGCACATAAAGCTTAAGCAGGCTAACAGTTGACAACTTTCAGAATGTGTCCAGAATGTTCCGACGCATATTTGGATGTTCCTTCTCTTCTTAGGTCAAACATTTGAGACATGAAGCCTGGTTTCGGTTTGGGGCATGGGACTGAAAGCCAAGTAAGCAGCTAGTGCCATCAAAAGGATGTCGGCAACATCCTCAGAGCGTTAAGATTTCAAATAAGGCAGTCTCTGAGAGGAGTCGATTCTGAAGGGGAGAGTCATGCAGTCCTCTGCTCTGCATGGAGTCAGCCTCATGAGTGCTGAGTGACAGGTCCCTAACCTGTAAAAACTGGATACATAACTCTCAAATCCCTCTTGCTACCCATTGAATACAATCAAGGGATCTTGATTGTATGAAGTAGAGGACAAGGCAATTATCTGATCATTCAAAGCCAGAAGCAAGCCTTGGCTTGAATTACCTAGCCAGTAACCCCATTTTTCCCCCTATTAGAATTCTAGAAGCAAAGTCTGACAAACCTTTCAAGGGAAAAGCTAATGGGGCTGCCAGCAGGGCATCTCTGAATACTAGACATTTAGCTGCAAGTTTCTAGGTCAATACCCACATCCCCCTTCCCCCACCCCCACCCTAGGAAACAAATTCAGAAATCCCTTTGAACTCTGAGCTCCATGAGAAAAGTAGCTGAGCCCCTTTTTTCCCATTCTCAGTTATGTTCTTCATCCCAGTAGTCAAGACATGCTTGGAATAGAGGCAGGCACTCTTTTTTGAGGCCATGGGTAAAAAGAAAGCACCCAAGTGGAAGGTTATTATTATGTTGAGAATGCCATTTCACATTCTAAGGTAGTGGAGCAACTTGTTCTTTAACAGTTTAGTGGCTCTCTTGAAGTTCTAAGCACCAGAGCTTATTTTTAGAGCTGAAAACCAAAAAACACCTCTGCCACCTCAACGTGCTCAAGGCTCCAACCCCAGCCTGTTAATGACCCATCCACCTCTTCTTCAGTCACTCCCTTGAGTTCTTTCATGTATCTAAAGCACAAGGTCAAGGACCCTGTAAGCCTGAGACCCAAAGGACAACAACTAAACTTAAAAAAATCTGCCTGCCCAGCAGACTGGCTGTCACACCCACAATTTGCTTCCGGGTGTGATCATAGCGCACCTTTGCCCTGGCCCAGAGACTCCCAATTGAATCCCAAAATGGATTTCTGCCATACAGAGATGTCTCTGGAACCTAACCATTTACAGTCTAGAAATTCACATTTATAATCATGGCCATGTGAGCTCTCATGATATTCAAAATGAGCGATAGAAAACAAATGATCTAGCGTCTGCCCCTGACAGGTAGGCTTGCATGGTGGTGGGAAATTTTGAGCAAAACATAATGCCCAAAATGAGAGAGAGAAAGAGAGAGAGAGAGAGAGAGAGAGAGAGAGAGAGAGAGAGAGAGAATTAGGGAACTTGTCTGCCACAGAGGCAGAGTGAGGACTGAGGACGGGGATGTGGGTGATGGAAAATGTGCACTGGTGGAGGGATGGATGTTCCGTCATTGGATGGCTGAATCTCAAACATGAACGCTTTGTAACTCGTGGTGATACAATTAAAAATAAAAGTAATGTGGAGTTCATGCCCAATTCAATAAGCTTAATCAATGGATGAACATATAGCAGTCGCCCTACGTTATTTAAAAAAAAAATCTGCCTGCCAAGGAGTGGGGTTGGAGGGAAGCTGAGGACCCCGATGGAGGGAAGTTGGCCCTGGTAGTGTGACTGGTGCTGGAACTCTGAATACCTGAAACTCTATTATGGATAATCTGTAAGTCACGGTGTTTTAATAAAGAACCTTAAGAGCAAGAGAAAAAAATAACAACAAAGAACAGAAGGAAGTAAAATATAACAGAGAGTGCAAGAGGTGTGAGATGCTGGGTGCTACTGGCCGGGTGCAACAGAGGCAGAAGCAAGACGGGGAAGCCCCGTGAGAGGAGAGGCATGTCTCCCTCACTCCCCACCCCCAGGGAACCCGAGTCTGTCTGCAGGTGTGTCAGTAGAGAAAGGATCATGTGCTCATCTTTCCCGCCAAATCTGGGCTTGTTCTGAGTCTAATTCCCGACCTCAGTTCAGAGCCTGCTGCCCTGGTGAGACATGTCTAGACAGAACTCACTCGGAATGGAAAGCCACCGGCTGATAGGGCTGGTGTTGTTCACACTTGTATTTACCCGCGCTTCCGGCCAGGCGCATCAGTTAGAAATGCAGGTATGAGCCTGCTGGGCACATCAAACCCACGAGCAGCGCAGAAGGGAGTGTAGGATGTGCTGTCCACCAGCGAAGTTAATAAATACCAGGCTTCAACCTCATGAGGCGCTGGACATTACCACTGGACTGCATATCAGAGCAATAACGGGATGAAATCATCTTAGTCTCATGTATTTTGGGTATAATGTATTTTGGGTATAATGTATTTTGGGTATAATGCTGTTTTAGGGCTGGAGCGATAGCACAGTGGTAGGGCGTTTGCCTTGTATACAGCCAGCCTGGACCAGCCGGGTTCGATTCCTCTACTCCTCTTGGACAGCCTGGCAAGCTACCGAGAATATCTCACCCGCACGGCAAAGCCTGGCAAGCTACCCATGATGTATTCAATATGCCAAACACGGTAACAGCAAGTCTCGAAATGGAGACGTTACTGGGCTCAGCTCAAGCAAATCGATGAACAACAGGAGGACAGCTATTTTAGGAAATTTTATTCAGTAGCCTCATTTATGGAGCTGATCCATGCTAGAGATCTTATGGCACTTTTGCAAACTCATGAGAAGACCCTTCTTCAGTGGTGTAGCACTGTCATCCCGTTGGTCTTCGAATTACTCAAGCACCAGTAAGGTCTCTATCCTCCCAGCCCTGAGATTTTAACAGCCTCTTCTTACTCATCTTTTCCCAACGATTGGAGGCTCTCCAAGGCCAGGGGAATGAGACCTATTGTCGTTACTGTATTTGGCATATCGATTATGCCACGGGGAGCTTGCCAGGCTCTGCCCATGCGGGCGGGATACTTTCGGTAGCTTGCCGGGCCCTCCGAAAGGCATAAATGGGTAGGAAGTGTCTTTATAACACGCTCCAGGCCGGAAAGCGGCCTGGAGCATGGCGGTGGTTGGGCAGTGGAGGTTGGCTGCTGGGACTGAGTCCCTTGGGGGTGGTGAGAAAACCATAAAGGGCTGGAGGGAAGAGAGAGGAGTGGAGGTTCTTCAGGCTGTCTAGTTTGGTGGCAGCTACAAGACTCTGCACTTGCAGGGGTGAGCAGTGCCCTCACAAGGATAAACAAGTCGCTGTTCCAATAAATCTTTACTTACAGACATTTAAATTTGGATTTCATACATTTTTACATATCGTGAAATCATCATTCTTGTTTGAGTTGATCGCTGTTACCTCATGGGAACAGTCGTCCCTATATTTTGCCAACCTCTGATGCAGATGATGAAAAGATAAACCTCACAGCTGTCATTTTGTCAAGCAGAGGGGCACAGGGTTCAGGGAGAGGCAGAAAGAGGCAGCACTGTGGGGGGGGGGGGGTCCTGCCATGGTAGCAGATACAAGCTCCCAAAAGCACATGCATCTCCCAGACCCCAAAGGGACCAGATCCAATTGGGCCTGCCAATGAGACCCTCCTGATTATCTCCAAGCTGGATGGGCTAGAAAACAGTGGTGATCGACTTAAAAGCTGGAGCCATGGGACATGTGATTAGTCTCATGAATAAACCTCAATCCACACCTGTCAACTGGAGTGACATCCTTGCCAAGGTCTGAGAAAGTCCCTGGCCAGTGCACTGGAGCCTGACCATGATTCATGCTTTGGAACTGAATACAAACAGATTCTTGAGACACTCACTTGGGGATGGTCACCTCGGAGCCGGTTATTGAACTGAGTGCCACAAAAGCCTCCTGGCAATTCAATCACCATCCCCACTTTTTTTTTTTTAAAAAAAATACATTTAAAGAAAGACACCACAACTCCTGGCTGCAGAGTGTAAAATATATTGATGGTTGTAAAGGGACAACTGGTAGACATTTTAGGTCCACTGAAGGTGGCGTGCAGTAAACAGACGTGCTCTGTGTTGTGAAACCATGTCAGAGAGTTTTCAAACACATCTCCGTCTTGAACAGGAGGTTTTGTTGCATGTTTCATTTTTTTTTTCATTAGCACAGTTTACTACTCTATAGTTCCTATTAGAGTAAATAAATATAAATGGCCATTTGCAGAGCAACTACAGACTTATTGAGATGTTTAACAAGGTAAACTATTTCACAATTAGGTTGACCTTTATGTTTACAGCAAGAGGTCTTATGTTCACTGCTTTTTTCACTGCTGCCGTGGGGTGGGGGAGAGTGGAACGTGGTACCTTCTCCAGTTTACTCTTTGTTCAACAAGTTTAGTCACCAACAGACTCTAAAATGTAACTAATAAAAAATAGCAGTCTGTTAAAAAAATTAAGTTGTAATTAGGCTGTGGGTTTTTTTCCAAGACTCTTAAAGTCAGATCACTTCAATTTACAAGGGGGGAGGGGGGCAAAAAAGGCGCTAGGGAAACCTAAGTAGCAAAAAAGAAAAAAAAATATATTACTGAAAAATACATCTGTGGAACACAGTGGTCAGTTGTAAACAGCTCAGAAGGGCACAGGAGAACCAAGTCCTTCTAGAACGTTAAACGGTCCCCCGTCAGACTCCGCTGCTTCTTTTATTTAGTTTCTTTCTTTTTTTTTTTTTTACTAGTGGCTATTTTCCTACCACAGTGTTGAGCTTCATCATTATATTAAATAACTTATGTGGGTAAAAAGGAGTTTGCTAGCCAGCAGCCAACTCAAAACCTTGTCTGAAGAGGGAGCGAGATTCACGACACAGCACACACGGAGGACAGCCTGAGCCCGCACACACCGGATCGAGCCTTCCAGCAAGAGGACGGAGCTGAGCTGAGGATCTAAGTGCGTGGTTTCCCCTTCTGCCCTCTCCCTTTCTCAGTTAACAAAGAAATATGGGCTTCCTCAGGGCCGGCACTCAGCTGGACAAGTCCCGTTAGCAGCAAATGTTCAACCAAATATATATATATATATAAAAAAAGAAACAAAACCCAAACAAACAAACAAACAAAAATCCCAAAAAACACGGGTGTGAGTGTGCACACACACACACACACACACACACACACACACACACACACACACACGCCTGCGCGCGCACAAAAAAGCTCCATCCAGGTGCAGAGCTGTGATTCACATGGAAATTCCAGGAGATGAATCATGAGCCGAGCTGGGAGCTGGGAACGCCTGAGGATTCTTCCTCAAGGGTCTTCAGTGAACACTGAAGCAGTCTCACAAAGTCAGAGTCAAGCTGTCAGCTGTGGGAAATCAGTTTCCCAGCTGCTCTTGAGTGAGGTTTGCTTGCAGGGACACCAGGATTTTCTAAAGAAGCCAGAAAACAAAGACGAGCCCCTCCAAGGTCCTGGGGTGCAGCAATCCGTGTCCCCTCTGTTAAACTCGGCCTAGCAGGGTGGACCTGAGGAACGGGAAGACAATTCCGTAAGTGAGAATGCAGCGCACACGCTTCAAGCTATGATTCAAACACATTCCTTACGGCTGCCGTTGTCTTTCGGATGTGCTAAGGCTGATGACACAATTACATAATCGACACAAGAAGAATAAAAAAGTTTTAATGTCCCCGTTTTGCAGGGCAGGAGAACTGGCGACTCCAAAGGAATACTTATTCCTGGGTCTGGCCAAGGCTTTATGGCCGGGGTAAATGTGTCTCTTGCATGCTTCTGATAAACACAAATACAGGCCTAAAAGCTTAGATATACAGACTGATCTTATCACAGAGGGGTTTGTTCGGTAGATACGGTCATGCGTCTTCACATGCTGTGATCACTAAGAGCAACTAAATAGTAGCGGACAAAGAACAGGGTAAGAAATACCCTGGGACATGTCTCTGTCCTGAACCCTGCTCATTAAGTATCTGAATGAGTGATTCCAAGCATAGCTGGAAAAGCATCTATGCAAAAGTATCTATTGCCTTCAAAGCTAATGTGTGTGTGTTTGTGTGTGGCACGCATGTATGTATGTATAAAATACACACACAGATACACACGCGCACACACACACACACACACATATATATATATAATATACACAGACATGCATGTTTTCAGGTTGGTACTAATATTCTAGAACAATCCAATAGACAGAGATCGGTTTACAATGATCAAAAGCTCTGTTCCTTATTTCGTGTGTGATGGCTCTGCCTTGGCCGATATCTGCAGTGGCACATGGCCATACATTCTCTAACTGCAGGACGTGTGCCCACAGCTGTGGGTGACATGAGGGGGGGCCGAGACAAATGGACACCCCGGACACATGTGGTCCGTAAAAGGAGAGGAAGCCTGGGGCTGAACACTAGAGAGACGGGGTTGGGGGGAGGAATGGGTAGGTGGTGTGGGGGTGGGCCCACTGGAGGAGGGCCTTGGCAAAGGCAGGGAAAAGCTGAACCCAGAACTCAAAGAGTTTGTTCTGTGAGCTCCCTTCAAAATGATTTTCGCGTGGAAACAAGTCTGTGATAGAGGAGAGTACATCTTCCTATGCGGACATGTTTGCTTATGTATTAATCATCCTGCTTATTCCTCAACTCAGTCCTCAATGAACTCTTGCACTGAGCATCACCGGGGCACTTTTGAGATGTAAGCAACCGCAGTTGGATGATGGATTCTGCCTGGGTCTAAGGCAGTACAGTCCTCCTTTCTTCACAACATTCATTGGTCATACGTTTTAGTCACTAAGATGTCAAGTGCTATACTATACTGCATATAACATACATATATACATTGGCAGAGATTATACAACTGAGTCTTTAGCTTTTGCTATAAATTCTTAGACTAATAACCTCCTCACCTGAGTACGAATATGGTATTAAAGAAAAACAGCCAGGAAAGTATAACAACTTTTATTTAAAAAAATATGTGGTAGATCTGAATAGTTTTAATATGCCTGCATGTCACAGCTAGTGTGGATACCAGGTACCATTTATGCATAGCCAATGCCTTTTATTGTTAAATTATAACTAACGATATAAGCTGTACTAAATGTTTCAAAGGAGAAAGGAGAGATTAAGGGAACTGGGCAATAGTCCACTGGGTAGGGCACCTGCCTTGCACACAGCCCACCTGGGTTCAATCCCTTGTGTCCTGAGCTCTTCCAGGAGAAATCCCTGAGGGCAGAGCTAGGATTAACAATGAGCACTGCCATGTGTGGTTCCCTCCAGCCCCATTTTTTTAAAGAAAGGAGTAAGAAGAGGAAAATTATGAAAACTGGAGTCTATCTTAAGTGGATACCTACAAGACATAATTCATAAATCTTTTATCCAGTAAGATGCACCCTCTGGAGCTCATGTTTACAAGGAAATATCATAAAAGAGTATAATAAATAGCATTTAAAACCAATACAGAGTAGTGCAAAATTAAAATTTTAATTTTGTATTTTCTGACACTGGCAGGCATATTTTATATTATTAGAACTGGGCAGCAACCCCGCAAGACCACTAAAGTCCTGTGATTTTAGGCTTCGGTCTAAAATCTAAACTTCTCTATTTGTATCTGGGAATGAAGAAACAATTCCCATCCTTACCCATCACCGTCACACACCTGTCTATCATGAAGAATAATAATTCCAAAGCCTCTGCACCACATCTCTCTGCTCTAGAAGGTAAAGATCTAACGCTTCCTTTGAAACAAAATCACACACAAAAGAAGAGATCTTGGCTCATGTAACTTAGTCCAATACAAAGTATCAGATTCTAAATGGTTTGGGGAAGAAGAGGAAATGTTCCTGCCAATCTTGCCATAGACCAGAAGATAATTCCCTGCGTGTTATAAGAGAAGAACAACGTGGTGACCTGGATTCTATTATTACTATCTGTTGGGTATCATTTGCTTATTGAAGTATCTCAAATGGTTAAAAATAGAAATATACCTTACCACAGTAGGTACTGTTAAAAATGCTAAATGTTTCTTAACACTTTTTAATTTGGGATGATTATAAATTACGCGTAAATGTTGTTTTACGCTAGAGGCTGACCAAGATCGAGTCAACTGACACACTGATATTAACCCAGGGGTACTTAGGTCTCTTTTATCTAGGCTCAAGTAAAATTTTAGTGTTGGGAATAAGCAGACACATAGTCTGAACATCTTATCTTTTAGATGAAGAAAATGAGTCTGTGCTCATTTTACCCTGGGGTAATTTCAATGCCTTATTCCAAGAAGTAGTAGGAGTTAGAAGAGAGCTGTTCTCTATCTGCCAATATAAAAAAAATTAAAGGCAATAAAACAGAATGATGGCAATGAGGATTTTAAGCCACAAAGACTTTAGTTAATAAGAGATAAGGTGTAGAGGACTTGAAGCTTTTTAGACAGTGAACTTCTAGGGGTAGGAAGTCCATTTTTCATCTTTACATTTTTCACAAGGAGAAGCAACGTGACCCACCTTAAGGACTTCCATCTGTCTTTCTCTATATGATTTTCAGGCCCTTCACTCTCGTAGGAAGCCAAGTAGAGAGCTGCAATCAAGAGAAAGAAAGAATGCATTAACTCAGAGGCTTTCGTATAAATCTAATCGCCTACAATGCATCTCCCTTGTCCAACCTGAGACATGAACTGTAGCAAAACACACTCATGAAAATATCAAATTATGGCAGAAAAGCTTCTGTTTCTTTGAGAAGAACACAAATGTCTACTTAGCCTCTTACTGGCCATCGCCACAAAATTCCATGAGCCTCTCGGCCAAAGTGGCACTTCATTTACTGAGAATCCATTTGTGAGGGGGCAAGGCTTACAAAGGCAGACACTGAGGCTTATACGTTCACTCGGTGTTCTTCATAAGGAAGAGATGGAGGGGGGAGGCTTTCTAGTAGACTTGATTTTTTTAAAAAAACATGAATAGATTAAAAAAAAAATAGAAGTCCTGTTCTGGGCCAATTTGCCATCTTTCTGATATTTATTCTCTATTTTTAAATTTAAAAATAATTCTTCATCCAAAAATGTAATATTATTTGTCGACGTTAAAAACCTTTATCTTGGGCTGGAGAGATAGCACAGCGGGTAGGGCATTTGCCTTGCACGCGGCTGACCCGGGTTCGATTCCCAGCATCCCATATGGTCCCCTGAGCACCACCAGGAGTGACGATTCCTGAGTGCAGAGCCAGGAGTAACCCCTGTGCATCGACGGGTGTGACCCAAAAAGCAAAAAAAAAAATAAAAAATAAAAAAACCCTTTATCTTCCTTTAAAAAAGGTAATTCAGATGTTCTACAGTCTCTATCACAAACACTATCCATTTGCTATTTGAAAAACTGTTCATTGATGCTTTTGAATTTGTCAAGAGAACAAATTCATAATATTTTTTATAAATGTTAACTCTCTCTTATGAACTTTGACTCTCTTTTGGTCTACTTTCTTCTAAACACAATGACTTTTCTTGCCTCAAATTCCCTAATGCTGTCACAGGGCAAGACTTTCCACTACTTTCTCAAACAACAAGGGGTTAGCAAGGAGCTGATTCCTGCTTCCCCCCCCCCCCCCAGTTGCTGTGAGTACCAATATATCACAAACAGCTTTCTTCTCCATTGATTCAAGCCCAAATGGGTGGAAGGGGTGGGAAATGTCTCCCCGCTTCAATAGCTTCCCCCTTGTGCTCCAAGTATTGCAGATCAACCACAGCACTCAAAAAGAGAGAGACAACAAAAGGGAATGCCTTACCACAGTGGTAGGGTGGGATGGGGGGAAGGGGGTTGGGAGGGATACTGGGACTGGTGGTCATGGAGAATGGGCACTGATGGAGGGATGGGTATTCGATGATTGTATAACTGAAACCCAAGCACAAAAATTTGTAAGTCTACAACTGTAACTCATGGTGTTTCACTAATAAAAATTTTAAAAATATAAAAAAAGTATTGCAGATCTAGTATTACAAAGAACACATAAACATACAGTTTTTGCCTGAAATGTGAGGGCCTCACTCAAACTCTTTAGCAGTAAATCATATGGTTTAATATGCAACAGAAATTCCTAAGATGAAAGAGATCAGAAGCCAGGCTTCACGCTACATCAGGACCAAGCCTAAGCATTCCGGCCCGGCTTCCTACGGGCAGGTGAGGCGAGGCTGGGAGCACAACTCACCGTCTTCACTGAACACAGGCATCGTGAGTAGGTACTGCAGGATCTTCCGGTCCCTCTCAAACGGGCACTCCACTTGTTTCCAAGTCATGAATTCACTCACTTGTTTAGCCAGTTCCCAGAATTTCTAGAAAAGATGGGGGGGAAAATGAAGTTAAGTGTTGCCATTACTAAAAAATAAAGCGCTGGTGAAATACTGTATGACTTAATCTCAACTATTAATAACTTTGTAAATCACAATTCTTTTAATTTAAAAAAAGGGAGCTTGAAAGATTCTAATCCACTTGCTTATTCCTTCTGGCTTCAAATCTCTAAACAACATTATTTTCTTAATTTATGAAAAAGTCAGTCTACTTGGTAGGTAAAGGAGGAATTCACTCAAGGGCCTTAGAATGATGATTATGATACCAGTTTTACCATTATTATTGTACAACTAGTTTGTTCTCTTGCTATTTTATAGTAAAATAGCAATGGGAAGGGGAAAGAAAACCTGGTTCTGGAGTCTTCAAGATCAGTTCCAGAGAGGTACTACAACGGGGAAGGGGCTTGCCCTGTCTTGGCACCACCAGGAGTGAATTCTGAGCACAGAGCCAGAAGTAAGCCCTGAGGTGTAAACGACCTCAGGTGTGGCCCCAAAACCAAAAATGAAATTCAAAGCAGAACTTTAAAAATAATCTTTTGACCTATAATGCAAGCTGACACATGCTACACACTAGCGTTCACATTTTTGAAGCTTGCCCTTACCTCAAAGTTGACATGTCCATTTGGAAGGCGGTTGGCACAGCCCTCATTGAGGAAATAAATATCTTTGATTAAAAGACTGAAGAATGGAATCACAATCTAGAGAAAACAAAAGATCCTGGTTGGTTTGGGCTAAAAAAGAAGCCTTAGCTTCACATTCAGAAACACAGGAAGTAAGTGAAAACCATTAACTCTGGGTTACACACAGGGCCCTAGTAATTCAGCATCCTGACAGCACTTTCCTTTCATCCCGAATTCTGAGTTTGGTGCAAATGTCATTAGCAACCAAGCACAGTACAGACAAGAGGCCCTGGATGTGGATGGCTTCCCGGTGTCCCTACAGTTTTTCCTATTTCTTTTTTCAACAAAACCGGATACCATTACATCATGAACTTCTGACTCCAGTTGAAAGGGAAAACTAGAACCAAACTCTTGTTTTTGACTTAGTTACAGCAAAACACAAGAGAATCTTGAAATGGTAGGCACCAACGTTTTGAGACAGGTGGCCATCTCCCTGCTAGAATCTGTCACCCTAGCTTTTAGTTTTCCAGACTTTAGTGGAAGATTAAACTTTCATTTTCACACAGAGACTTCACTTCACCCTTGAGGACTCTGCTCACAGCAGGGGGAGACTCAGGTGTTAAGTACACATGTTGCCAATATCCTGCTACACAAACCTGCCTGTCCCAGGACAGAGCAAGCTGGCATGCGTTCTCATGGGAAATCACCAGAGAGGCAGATTGCACAACAGAGAAGCCCCCTGTGAAGGACAAGGACGAATAGAAGTGTGCAAACTGAAATGAATGGTTGTTTAAAAAACAATAAACCTTCTTGAGCAAGACCATTTTGCCTTAGCTCCTTGGTTGGAGAGGTGGCTTTGCATTTATTAACCTAAAATAACAATCCCTAAGAAAATATTTCAGGCTTGGAGAAAGAGAGTTCATGGGTTCAAGTGCCTTGCATATGGTCCCCTGAGGAGAGCAGGTATGATCTCTGAGCACAGAGCCAGGAGAGAGCCCAGAACACTGCCAGGTGTGGCCCCCAAACCAAACCGAATAAATATCCTAAATCCAACTAAGCCCATGATGAACCAATAACAAAGCCTGACAGTTACTTCTACATTTTTTTTCAAATTACAGTAGGATTTGAAGATTCTAAATTTGCTACAGTGGAATTAAGCACCCAAACATAAATTTTCTGCCCACGTGGTTTATCCAAGAGCAGGTTTTTGAAGTACTCCTAAGCTAATGACTCATGTGGTGTACATAAACTAAATAAATGGGAGGTCTGGAAAACATACATTTTTGGCTCAAATACAAAAATATTAAGTGTCGGTTTTCACTTCTAAAGAGAAATTAGTCTTTTCCCCTCAGGTCATTTTAAAAATAAGGCTTTGATTTTTTTTTTTTTGTTTCCTTGATCTCTGAAAATAACCAAAGTAAATCTTCAGTTTTGAAAACCTCTTCAAATATTCTTTGTCTCATTTGTTATTGTCTTTAAAAATTATAAAGGCTGAATTTCTCAAGATCCATTCACTGCCATCATTAACTAGAATTTCTCTATCATTTAGAACTCAACAGAAATATTACCAATGGTACGAGCACACTTGAACCCAGATTATTCTATAAATGAGAAGTGCTAAGCTTTGGGTTCTGGTGGACTGTCAGAAATCCACTGAAAGTCTGGCTATATAATGTACTGACAGTATGAGCCAAGATTCTACAAATTGAGGCCAGCAGGTCAACCCACACCGATCACCTACTTTGGTATTGCCAATGGGTGACACATTTTATATTTTTGAATGTCTTAAAAAACATTAAAACATTAATATTTTGTGAGCATGGAGACTGTATAAAATTTGAATGATTGTGGCCACATGACTTCATTGGAAAACTGCTTTCTCATACGTCTACATATTGCCCCTGTCTTCTTGTCTATTATTACACCAGAGTTGAGTAGGGTTAACAAAATATGACTAAAAATCCTGAAATGATTATGACCAAGCCCTCAATGAAAGATCTGATCATCTCTGCCTTTTCCATCTTAAAATGGAAGCAATGATAATTACCTCAATTACTTGTAATGAGGAATAAATTAAGAATCGCCTAATAGGGGCACATATTATTAACAGACAAAATATAATAAGGATACATTATCATAAGCAATCCTTCAGAAAACATATAAAAATGTAGTCAAGATGCAGCATATACACTACCAGCTTTTAAGCAAAAGTTTTATTTCTGTGCTCAACGATGTAATGCTGAGCTGTGAGATTTGTGTGGTCCTTGTCATTTACCCTATTGTTAATATAATTTTGAAGGGGGTACATTTGGCAATGCTCAGGTCTTCCTCCTGACTCTGCATTCAGGGATCATTCCTGGTGGGCTCAGAGGACCAGATGGGGTGCCAAGGATCAAATACGGGTCAGCGGCATGCAAGGCAAGCGCCCTACCTGCTGTACCTTTTCTGCTCTGACCCTCTCATCAATATTTAAACTTTTCCTACGATCATGTCATGCATTTTTATCTAGGTTGGCTATACTTCATGTGATGTTTGCATTCATGGAACATGCAAGATGATGGACTATAAATGTTCTGAATCACTCTTCAAAAAAATAGGGGTAAACAATTTCCCTTAAGATACTTCACAGTGCTGGGATGGGTGGGAGGGGGGTATATTGGGGTTCTTGGTGGTGAAATAGAAGTACTGGTGAAGGGAAATGTGTTTGATCACTGCATTACCGAGACTTAAACCTGAAACCTTTGTAACTTTTCCCACAGTGACTCAATAGCGATAGCATAGTGGTAGGGCGTTCGCCTTACAAGCGGCCAACATGGCCGACCCGAGTTCGATTCCTCCGCCCCTCTCGGAGAGCCCGGCAAGCTACCGAGAGTATTCGATATCCCAAACACAGTAACAACAAAGTCTCCAATGGAGACGTTACTGGGCCTGCTCGAGCAAATCGACGATCAACGGGAGGGCCTTTACCTTTACCTTTTTATTAAATTAAAAAAAAAAGATACTTCACAGTGCAGTTGGAGTGACAGTTACAATGAGGAAAGCACTTGCCTTGCATAAGGCTGACTAGGGTTTGATCCTTGGCACCCCATATGGTCTCCCAGTCTGTCAGGAGTGATCCCTGAGTGCAGAGCTAGGGGCAAGCCCTGAGCACACTAAGTGTGGCCCCAAACAAACAAACAAAAACAAAATGGAGGCTCCTGGCTCTGTGGCTGATTACCATAAGCAAAGGAGTCTCCCAGGCTCCCTGCCCTGCTTTCTCCATCACAGGCTAGAGAGAGGCAGTCTCTGCCCACACCCAGCACAGTAGAAGACTTGGGCTCCCATGAACTGGAGTGAACACACAGGCTATGAATAGCAGAAAGCACAACTTGAATTTTTGCCACCACTGTCTTTAAGGAGAACTTCTAGAGTCATAATGTTTTCTAGTTTCCTTTCAAAGTCCTTTTAATTCAGAGACTCAGCAACTAACCCCTCAAAACATTAGCAGTCCACACACCTCGGAATGAATGCTGATGAGCGAGAACAAGTTCTGACAAAGAAAGCGGAGTGGGGAAAGGATTTAAAACCATATAATCATACGAGAGAGAGTGTTAAAGACCTGGAGATATGAATACCCATAGGGGAGAAGAAAGCTCTTTAAAGATTACCTTAATGGCCCCCCTCACTTTGCCAACTGAACTTATGTCTTGACTAGACATTCATGTGGGGCAAAGGAAGTGTTCTGTTCAAATTCAAGCAAACTGGATGTTTGTTTTATAACCTGTCAGAGGAAATAACAGGAGCAAAAAAAAGGGGGGGGCACAGAGATATTACAGCTGCTTGGGTAGTTGCTTTGCACGCGGCCCACCTGGATTCTATTCCTGACACCCCAGATGGCCCCCCAAGGCCCTGACAGGGGGAGTTCCTGAGTGCAGAGCCAGGAGTCAGCCCTGAGCAGCGTTGGCTGTGTCCTGCTCAATCCCTCACCCCTAAATCACTTCAAGGCTTGTAGCAAAAATGTTCTGATTTGATCTTGGATGTGGTACCACCTTAACTGCATAAATTTGAGATGTGACAGAATAAAGATGTAAGTTCTCTCTAGTTGTGCTTCCAGGAAGTTTTTCTTGTTCTTGTTTTTGGTTCTGCATCACATCGGGCAGCACTCACAGGACCACATGGAGTGCTGGGGATTAAACCTGGATCAGCCACAGGCAAGGCAAGCACTCGAGCCCCTGAACTGCCTCTCCAACCAAGAAGATGTTTAAATGGAAATTATTATTATTTTATTAAGATCCTTATTATTAAGAGTCTCATTTAAATTCAAATGAAAGACTTAGTCTCAATATTCTCTTGACTAAAAGACTGATATTACCCAGAAATATTTTCATTCCTAGCCTTTGAGACCAATTGTAAAATTAAAAATGACATGTTTCTTTTTTTTTTTTTTACATGATGGTGATTTCACTTTGTGAATTAACTAAAGTTCAATTCCTATACTCCATGGAACTGACTAAAAATAGAAACTAATCAGGTGGAATTGTACTACATGATGTGAAGGATAAACAGGAGTCTTCGTCTGGGGGGCGGGGGGAAACATACTAGAACCCCACAGTAAAATACAGAGTGAGATCTCAAAAGAGGCCAGAGAGGCTCAGGGTCATTTCAGCCAGTTCTGCAGCTTCCTCTGGAGGCAGAGGCCGCCGTGACCACTGCCTAACCCTCTGCGCACCTGAGGGTCCTATTGAGAAGAATCACTTAAACTGGGGGTCGGGGGAGGCAGGTGTGGGGGAGAGCAGGATGGTGTGAGATCAGGGGGTCAATCAGGGGCAGGACGGGATATTTCACAGGAAGGAAACCAGGTCTGAGGGGCCACCGTGGGGAAAGTGCTGAAGAAATGCTGCAGAGAAGGGAAGGGATGTGGCGTGTCTCGTGCAGGAAAGGGATGTGGCGAGTCTCATGAAGGGAATGGGACATGGTGTGTCTCATGAAGGGAAGGGACGTGGAGTTGCAGGCATATCCTCCCACAGAGCCTTGCATGTCCCTCCAATGCATCAGCGGATGCTCCAAAATTTAATAATAAACAAACAAGCAAATCAGGCTGCCAGTGAGATCTTTCCTTCAATCCAGCCACACTCGCACCAGGAAGTAAAATTTCTCTCTCCCATTTGTTCATGAGAAAATGTGAGTACTGGGGCTGGAAAGAGGGTGGCAGGTCAAGGGCTCGCCATGGCCGCTGCTGACCTTGGTTCCCCACTGACACCACATCTGATCCCCTGAGCACCCCAAGCTCTGGACCCCTAAGCACCGAGCCAGGAGTAAGTCTAAGCACAGCTGGGTATGATGCAACACCCCCCCCAAAGTTGAAAAGTTAATATATATTCACAGTATCGGCCAAAAATGAACTGCACTGGGGTTTTCTCTTGTGTGGAGGATCAACTCCATCTTTCAAAGGTGGGGTTTCTCTTTGCATGAGTTTCTCTTTTAGATTATTGTAGCTGAAGGTTTTATTAAAAAGTAAGATGTCCTGATTTTTTTTAAATCCTCATTTTTTATTTTTTCTTTGCTGAAGATCATTTAAGTTAGATGAGGGACAGAACCTAAGCAGAAAATGACTTTTATTGAGTAAACTACATCATCGGTCCACATCTACTTCTAAGGACACATGATTTCCAAATGGCAAATCATCTAACTTATCCTTCTTGCATAAAAAAAATATGGCCCTGGAATAGGCCAAGGGGATAATGCAGAGTCAAGGCTATGGTTGATTCAGGAGACCCTCAACCATCAGCAGGGTGCAGGAGATAGAATAGGATCGTTAACTTCTCAGACATCATGCTGGTCACTTTTTTTTGACACCCACATATCCAATTAGTAACAGCAGGCCTCATGCTACAGAAACTAACCCACGTCCTGAAAATAAATGACTTAATCATGGGAGGTAAGCTAACTCTTTTGAAGAGTTGAGGTTGCATTAAATCAGCTACCTTCTGTAGAGCTTAAATGTCCATTTTCCATTAAACTTAATTATTCACTAAAGCTATTAGTCATCTCGGCCTATGACTTCACTCATTGCTTAACGCACAACTAAGACACACTACAAAACACTCATTTAAATACTGCAATAGCACATTGACATAGATCTGTAAAGTTCTATGTCAAGACACCTCTCCCTTTCCGATGGCAAGTGACACACTTTCTACAGCGTCAATAACTTGACAGCATCGATGTTTAGAGCAGAACAGATCAAAGACGCTAGGTGTGGTGGTTCACGGTGCAGCTCAGCACACAAAAAGCCGCCAAACCATGGACCATCTCCCTAACTAAGCACATACCTTCTCCCTGCTACTGTGAGCAGTCAGTGACCGTTGTGCAGCCCCACGCAGAGCTGTTCGATAATTGTAGAAGTTGCTTGAAGGGTCCATTTGATGCTATGGACAAAAAAAGAGGGTATAAACTATTTCTCCCCAATATGTAATGGACAAAACCACACTTCTACCTGCACATAAAATTATATGTTAGGGAACTCTTTTTGTTTGTTTTCGGACCACACCTGGCTGTGCTCAGGACTTACTCCTGGCTCTGTGCTCAGGGATCACTCCTGGAGAGGCTCGGAGACCATGAGGGGTGTTGGGGGTTGACCCCTAGTCAGCCAGGTGCAAGGAAAGTGCCCTGCACACTGAAGTATTGGTCTGGCCCCAAGTTAGGGAACTCATTAAGGCTTATTACCTATCTCTCTGTCAAACACATAGGCATGACCACAAATGTTTTCTTCCCTGAGGTTCCTATTATTTATTTAAGCTGATGTCAGTTTCGATAATATTAAACCTAGACCAGATTCTTTCCTGGTTACCTGTTAAAACCAGACCTGAGACTGATAACAAAGAGTCAAGCGTCAGCACAAGAAAAATGTTCTGGTTTCATTGTGAAGGTTAACAGATCAGTTGATGGTTAGCCATGGACAGTGATCCAACGCCAGCCAGAGAATGTGCTCTGGCATCATTCGGTAACAAATACTTCTCAAATAAGTAAAGCACTCTCTCTTACAAGAAGGAAAAGAAACCTGCTTCATAACACGAATAAAGCATCCTGCATTACATCAGGATGCATTTGTGGGGGAGGGGGGATGTCAGGGGGAAACTGAGGAAAGAACTCCTTCTAAGGTAACTTTTTTTAATAATCTTTCAAGATGGCAAATTCAAAGCATAAAGCCACAAGGTGAAAATGACACAAATGTGATTCAGACACGTTTTTTTTAAAGCATAATGCTTTACCCTCAGATTTTTTATTGGAAAGGTGAGCTATGTTTGTTGAAAGGGTGCCAAAGGAGGATTTCTATGGGGACAGGAACCCCCCTCTCCTGGGACTGTGGAAAGAAATGAAATCAGTCAGCCCACACTGACACAGAACTCCTGACTGCCGGCACTCAGAAGCCATCCTGGTCCATAATGCAAAATGACTGACAATTCACCTTTTCCGGGCCGTTAGTCCCCAAATGGCACCTTTCTCTGGGAAAAAACCACTGACAACCTGATTTGTTTCCCTCCTCTAATTCCAACCCCTATCCTTTCCCTGCTGTGCTGAGGACAGATGTCTGTTCTTCTTTAACACTGTCTGGGAAAGGTGCAGGATTGTGGATGAATTCTGCCTCTGGGGTAATAAATGTCCCCCCACCACAGCAAAACTCAGTTTTACGTACCTCCAGCACATCAAACTTCGCAGTCTTCACCTTGGCCCAGGTTTTCTTTAGTCGAGAGACCGGGCTCATATTCATACCAGCTTCCCATGTTAAACAGAGGGAGAAGAGAGAAAGGTGAAATAGAGAAACACGAAAATCCATTCACATTTAACACTTGGAATAAACCTTCACTACCGAGTCTAGGTTTGTTTGGAGCGATAGCACAGCGGTAGGGCACTTGCCTTGTGCGCGGCTGGCCTGGCCGAGCCGAGTTCGATTCCTCCGCTCCTCTTGGAGAGCCTGGCAAGCTATCGAGAATATCTCGCCTGCACGGCAAAGTCTGGCAAGCTTTCCGTGACGTATTCGATATGCCAAACACAGTAACAACTCTCACAATGGAGATGTTACTGGGCCCGCTCTAGCACATCGATGAACAACAGGAGGACAGTGCTACAGTGCTACCTACAGTGCTACCGAGTCTAGGCTAACTGCATGGAACCAAAGCCTACCCCGTTCCACAGGAGCTGCCCCCTCCCGAGTCCCCCTGGTTCAGAGAAGTGCCCCCCTCTGCTGAAAGCTCCTTCACATCTCGCTCAACCAGATGCTCTTCTACTCAGTTATTCCAGTCTGTGAAGTGGCCCTTTTAATTGGTATTTCTGATACCTAATGATATGAAATGCCTTTTCATGTAAAAGTGGCCCTCTGTATAACCTCGTAAAATCTCTTTGCGAGTAATTTGCCCTTTGTCTTCACTGGGTTATTTGTCTTCTTTCTACACATTGGTTTGTAGGGTTCTTTTCACATTCTGGTATTTTTTTTTTATTGGTTCACTATGAATTCTATGGGCTAGGGAAAACTTCTCCCATGATAGGACTCGCCTCACAAATTTTCTTATGGGGGAAATTAAGCAATTGAATATACGAGGAAAGTTAAAGTAACCTTCTATTACCTAGACTCTGAACCTCTGAGGGGTGGTTTAAACAAATGCCCTACCCTCTGTACTATCACTCCAGCCCCAAGAGACCATAGATTTCTATAGCATTTGATACTCTAGCTGCCAGAACACATCAGAGCACTTAATTCAGGCGAGCAGCCCACAAGCTTTTTGAACAACTTACAAACTTCCATAGGTAAACATTCATGTGAGGATCAACTGACTAACTATAGCCATCTATTCTTATCTATTGAAAACAGATTACATGTACTTGTACAAATTCAGTTAAAGTACTCTGAATATTCTATAACAGTTCAGAATTAAGAAGCATAGTCTTCATGAAGAAAACTGTACTATCGGCTAATCTGCAGTGCACATTTCTCATGGAACATATCAAACGAAAGGGCATGTATCACCTAAAGAAAACTCACAAATTATTGCCATCAAGGAATTAAAGTTGCCAATGTTGAAACACTCCCGCGCTACGTCAATGAAATACTCAATCATTCTTGCTCGGTGCTTCTTCTTTACAGGCTGAAAGGAGAGGAAAACGGGGGTCAGATAGTCAACATGTAGATTCCACAGAAGTAGAGCAAGAAGGAAAAAAAAAGAACTAAGAGACAGTGGAAATTCGTTTTCTTACCATGCAGATTTCTGTAGCCACCAAGTAGCTGAGGCGATTGAACCATTCCACATACGCCTCTAAGTTCCGCGTTTTCTTCCGGTCGCTGTAGCAACTCTATGGAGAGAGCGAAGAGAGCAAATGTTGGGAGAACAAGAGAGAGTGTGTGTTGGGGTCTCATTTTTGCATCACAGATGGGCTGTTTGCCTCCGGTTCTGGATGAGGAAAGCTTTCTAGGAGGGGTAGGAGGGAGAGAGAGGAGGAGGAGGAGGAGAGAGAGAACTTTCCTGATGTAACAGACTCTCCTAGTATGGTGAAGTGAGAGAGGCGAGAGAGGGAGAGGCAGGGGGTGAGGGAGGAAAAGAGGGAACAGAAAGCTGGGATTCCAAGGGAGTCTCTCCCAAGTGGGCGATACCCTCGTTCCAGAGAGTGCTTGAACATGGGAGGAAGAGCAACCTATTTGCATTGGGGTGCAAGTGTGGGGTGGATCCTTTCTGCTTGTTCACTTAAAGAAGGTAGATCTCCAGATGGTGTTGAGTAATATTTTTCTCCTGAAAGCCATAGGCAGATAAATAGGAGCCTCTGCTGAAAGGTCCAGAGACACACTTTGATGATGCACTTCCCTCCCAAAACACTGTTACCCTGGGTACCATCTGTCCTCAGTAGCACTATTTAAAGAGAGGGGTTCGGGCTGTCAACTGACGCAATCTTGAATGATCAATGGGATGGAATCCCAACTGCTAGAAAGATTTTTTTTTTGCTTAATGTTAAAAGTAGGATGAAGTTTGGAAGTCTCTCACAAGGAAAGAAACATCTTCCAGGGAAGAGCAAATTCACATCTACAGCCAGTGTCGTCTCAAGTAGGTGAGTGACACTTGTTCAAAGGGAAAAGGGGCTCGGCTCATCTCCGGGTTCAAGGCCAAGTTTTAACCGGCTAATTACACCCCTCTTTCCTGCCTCTCAAAGCTGCACAACAAACAAAAAGGCCCATTAGCCTTCCATTGCAAAACCCAACGCCGGCTTCCTGTCCTAAGGGAAACTGTTGTAAGGCCGGAAAACAGCTGCTGCTCCTTCTCCAAAGGGGATTTCATGAGTGGGTGATGTCTGCCTGATAGTTCAAAATGCTTCTAGAAATTGGCCCAGGAACTGTTTTATTCTACTCTGATTTTACAGTCTGTGTCCAGCCGTTGCTACCTGGAACATGGGCTTCTCTCGGCTGGGAATGTGCGCTGAGGGGTTCACCTTACAGGGGGCATCCCCGCAGTGCATACCCTCCCACCCATTCTCCGGGAGCTGCATCCTGTCTTCCCGCCGCTGAGTCAGGAGCAGAGCATTTTCTCGTATTTTCTTTGACTTCATCTGCTAAAACCATTACGCTCAGCTCTCCTACCTCCATCATCACGGATGCCTGCATCTACTTGTTTAATAAATTTCCCAATAAGGAGTGGGTGGGAGGGGAGAGAAGATTGTGAAGATAATGCAAGACCCAGGTCAAGGAATACTGCCAAAAACCAGGCCACAACGACAACACCTCGGTTTTTCAAGCCTGAAATCAAACACTTCTCATTTCTGATTCATCTCCACTATCACAGACTCACCGACTGAGGAGACCTTGGTTTTGGCAGGGGGGAGGAATGAGGCGGAGAGGAGAAGGGGGTAGATTTTTGGCCACACCTGGTGTGCTCCAGGCTTACTTGGGCTCTGTGCTCAGGGATCACTCCTGGCGGTGCTCAGGAGACCAGAGAGGGTATGGGGAACTGAACCAGGCTCAGAAGCATGCAAGACAAGTATCCTCAATACTACCTCTCTGGGCCCCCAAGGAGTTCTCCCCCATTTTTCAGAGCTGGTCTCTGAGTCGATGGATTTACCTTGTCATTGTCCAAAGGGTCCTTCTGCACAAAGGCTTGAACAAATTCTTCTGGCCCGATATAGTTGAGCCTCTCCTGAAACACAGAGCCAGTAGGTCAAACGCCAGCAGGTATTCAGGGCAGGAGAGGACACGCACCATCACTTCTGTGGACTTTGGGCACCAGACCCATTCTGTTTTACAGCTTAGAAAATGAACCTTAACCCAAAACACTCATCAACCCCACAAAGTCTCAACAGAGGCAGTTTTCTGCTTGTGGTCAATGCTCTATCAATAGTAAAAGATGAAGCAAGTTAGAGGGACAGGAAGTAGATACGAAAGGTCAACTAATTCTGGACTTCCGTCTTGCAGAGGGCGGCATTTTAAAGCCAACTCCCAGAGGGGCAGGAGTATCCAGCTTAAAATGTCCAGAAGAAACCCGTGCCCGCTGTTTCACTCATATTTCCCACTGGGGTTATCCTGACTTCTCCTGCGACACTGGTACTGACTAACACAATGTCTGGTTGTCACAACAAACCAGGTCTGGGGATCTGCCCATGTCCTTACCAGCTCGATATGAGTCAGCTGCTGCGCCAACGTGTAAGGATCACTGCAGACAGTGATGATGTCCCTTTGGATGGACTGTGGTTTGGTCTTCAGGACTGTGAGCCTGTCCGTGGCTGTGGAGCTGATTTTGGCCAGGACTTCCTCGTACTGGCTGAGGGCTGCAAGTTTGCGGATCAGACACTGGATCATCTGCTGGACGTTCTTCCTGTAGGTCTGCCAAGGGAATACGCAACGGATGACCCCTCATTTGGCACACCTAGTCTCAATACTTTGCTCACTCAGAATCACACACACATGGGACTTTACCCCAAGAGTGTACACCATGTTGGTGCAAAGTAACAACAGGTTTCAGTCCATCTCTAGCCTTTGCAGACCGAGTGAAGCCCTTTCTTGGGCTCCTTGATGGCTCTTGGGAGAACAATTGGTATGCACCAAGAAAACACCATGGCAACCTGTTTATTTGGAACCACACACTGCAGTGCTTGGGGCTTACTCCTGGCTCTGGGATCACTCCTGGCAGGGTGCAGGGACCAGATCTAGTGCCAGGTATCAACTCTCTCAGTTGCACTATCTCTCCAACCCCAGGGTGACTTTAACTGTTGAGGAAATTCAGTGTAATGAGAACCACATACAGTTAAAGGTCCTCAGCGTTGGCACAGTGGTTCACTTATAGCAGGTTAAACTGCACTGATCAAATCAGATCTTTCATTTCCTGGTGCTATATTTTTTTGTTGTTGTTGTATGTGTGTGGCGGGGGAGGGGGGAGGTCCACACCTATGGACTTACTCCTGGTTCTATATTCAAGGATTGCTTCCTGCAGTGCTTGGGGAACAGTATGGGATGCTAGTAATCGAATCCAGATCAGCCACATGGGAGTCAAGTGCTAACTGTTGTACTCTCTCTCTCTCTGGTCATATATATTTTTTTAAGGCTACTGTCATAATTTTCCACTTAGAAGAGTGGGGTGACCGTATAACAGGTAGGCCATTTGCTTTGTATGCGGCTAACCAGGGTTGGACCCCCGGCACCTGTATAATCCCTGATTCCCAAAAGGAATAAGTCCTGAGCACAGAGCCAGGAGTAAACATTAAGCACAGCCAGGTGTGAAACAAAACAAAAAGCAAACAACAACAACAACAGCAGCAGCAGCCCCCAACCCTTTTTTTTTCCATTTATCATCCCCAACCTCAACAGTTGAGGGACTTCTGGACAGAAATATACCACTATTTCCCACTACAATTCCCCCAACCCCCCCACACACACCTGCCCCAGTAGCTTCCTGACAGATTAGCACAGGTTTCAGGGAGAAGAGATAGTCATTTCTGATATCTAACTTTCATTTGGCGCAAATGCATTTCTTTGCTTTCACTGTCAGTGCTAATGTCCACAACCAAAATTTTACACATTGGAGACTAGAAAGGAAGACGAGAAGAAATCCATCACTTGTATCATGATAATTGTGATTGTTTGTGTCACGTATTATAAAAGTCAAGAGTTAACCTTACTGTGTAATTCTGCTAACATCAGTTTCTCTTAAGTGTTAAAGTTTTTGCCCACTGCAATAACACTACTAAGGTGGCAACTGCAGGCGGGCATAATTGTCATGTGCAAGATTTTGGTTATGAACATTTGCAGTGACAATGAAAGCAAAGAAATGCATTTGTGCCAAATGAAAGTTGACTTTTGCCTTCTCTCTACAATCAGAGACCCCCTCCCCAAATCATTGATGGAAGAGCCTTCTTTTTAATGGCTTTAACAATAGAGTCTTAAAAAAACACACGGCACTTGTACAAGGGTTTAGAAGACACTATTTGATAAATATATCACTCAAGTGAAATACCTTTTTCTCTGGAATTAGAGGTATTTCATGACAAGTTGAGGGGAGGGCGACTTTAGACGCCTCACCTCTTCGCTTTTCAACATCTTTGGTCACTCTGAAAATCTATCCACTGCTACTGGTTTCCTCAGTCCTCTGTCCTGAATGTTAGATTGAAGGAATTGCTATATAAGAATGAGATACCACTCCATGGGGCTGGAGCGATAGCACAGCAGGTAGGGCATTTGCCTTGCACGTGGCCGACCCAGGTTCGATTCCCAGCATCGCATATGGTCCCCCGAGCACCGCCAGGAGTGATTCCTGAGTGCAAAGCCAGGGGTAATCCCTGAGCATCACCAGGTGTGACCCCCCCCAAAAAAGAATGAGATACCACTCTAAAAGGGTGCATCCAATTTCCAGTTGCAAAACTCAAGATCATGAATAGACGCACACTGCGTACACTCAGTGTGGAGAATGCATTCGACATAGGGTCAGCATCACAGTTAACGGGGACCACTCAAGGCACGATCTCCAACTGCTATACCATTGTTACTCCAAGAGACATGGCCTTGTGCTAGTCAAGGGGCTTATCTTCAGGGGTTACCTCAGTCTTTGAGAAAACAAAATTTTATGTACACAAGTTCACTCGTTTCCAATGGGTCAGATGTTTTTACTATCTTGGCAAAAGCCACACTCAGCTATTACTCACAGACTAGACCTGACTCTGAGCTCAGGGATCACTCCTGGTGAGACTTGGCAAACCCCACGGGGCGCCAGGGAGAACAAACCCAGGTCAGCCATGTGCAAGCCAGGTGCCTTACCCACTGTCCTATCTCTTCAGCCCCATGAATGGATTTCTTCTCCCTTTGATTTTGGTTTGTTTTGGAGAGCCACACCCGATGTTGCTCAGGACTTACTCATGGCTCGGCAAACAGGGATCACTCCTGGTGGAGCTTGGGGAAATGTAAGGGGTGCAGTTGATAAAACCCACATTAGCCACGTACAAGGTAAGTGCCCTACCCACTGGACTTATTGCTCTGGCCCCAACAAAATAGCTTTGCAGAGGGAAAATTCCAGCGACCTGGTGGAATTCTAGTGACTTCTCTGTAGTTCATGGAGGATACAGCTCCCTGAACAGACAAGAAGAGAGATCCAAGACATCCTAGGAAGGCCAGAAGGAGGAAGCAGGAAGAAGAAAACCAGGTAAATAACAGAAACAAAATGACATGAGTCACTTCTACAGTTGGGTGTTGACGCCCATGGACAGAGGGTCAGAAAAAAACTCCTGAAAAACATGCACAAAACTCAAAAAGAGGGTAATTTAAAAGAGAGAGTTAGAACTGAGAGAAGCCGTGGGTCCTTCTGCTTGCTGTGAAAACACTGAGGCCATAGAGAGAATAAGGAAACAGTCACAACAGAACGCTACTCAACAATAAGCAAAGATGAAATCCTGCAGTTTCATGCCACTGGGTGGACCCAGAGGGGGTCAGGCTGCGTGGAGTCAGACAGCGAGGGACAGACTGAATGATGTCTGGTATGTGGCAGACAGAGAACCACAGTAAGGGAACAGACCACGGCCAGTGCTAGCAAACGCTGAGAGTCTCTCAGAGAATAGAGTGTGTTTGGGTGCGGGGAGAGGGAGTTGGAGACAGCAGGTACCCTGACACCCTGCTGTGGGTATGACACAGCCATATTAGATGCCCCAAACATGACTACCAACAATGTCATAAATCCTGCTGCCTAATTAAAAAAATAATTCAAATTTTAAATTTAAAGAATTTCAAATTCCCCCATAAAATGAGAATTCTAAGATTCATTCATAAGAATGAATCACATGCAATGAAGGTTTTGTTGTTTTTTCACCCCCAAAAGCCACGAGAACTCATTTGAAAGGATGCCATTATCCTCTGTCTCCCTCCACATCTCCTGCATGAATGTTCTCTCCCCATGCACCTGGCTCCACCTGCTTGCTGCTCAGGGACCCCAGGGAGACCCCTGTCTGTCGTTAGAAGCTCCCATGTCTCATCAGAAGCTCCCAACTGAGAAGCGACATGTACAAGCTGCAGAGTCTGCACCGCAGACATGAGTCTGCCTTTTTTTTCCTGCAAACATGCCAAGTGACGGTGAGATGTGGCAACGGGTGAGAACCTATGTTCTTCTGGATTAGCTAGTGAAGATTCCCCTTTCCACTAGGGATGGGACATAGGAATGCACGGAGGATCAGGGCATGCAAAATACAAGGGGTAAATACACACAATGGAGTATGGGGAAAAGCTACTCAACAAATGGGTTTTGTGTGTGTGTGTGTGTGTGTGTGTGTGTGTGTGTGTGTGTATGTATGAGAGAGAGAGAGAGAGATCCAGACATCAACAGAGAGAGTATGCATATGTGATCTCTTCGAAGAAGTTCTCTTTGTCATTGATTCCATGGGAGAAGCCAAGCTTTGTGTTGTTAAGCATACTTCTTCACTGAGTCATGAAATTCTAAATATGTACTTAGTCTTTTTTACAACTTCAAATGCTGGTGACAGTAATTATCTGGCAAATAAAGATAGAAGTTCTTATTATAAAGACCAGCCCCTTAAGGAAGAGAAAATTGCATTCTACCCACTCTAGTCATTTGTCATGTAATTCAATCATTAGTTTCATTTCATGTTTCTTGCAGGCAAGTCCTAATAAACCACTTCATTTCGGGCAAATCCCCAGGGGGGGCAAACATATTAAGCCAAATTATGTGGAACTGTCTTAGCAGTTTCAGAAGAATGGAGCTAAATTATAGACGGGAGCACACCTGGATCCACTGAGCGCCAAAAAAAGTCCCTGAACTCCCAGGCAAGATGCAACAGGTTCCAGCCCAACCTCAAACTCCTGCTTGCAGAGGGCAATAATTTCCCAGTGGAATTTCTTTCTCTCCCAGCAACTGATTAGTTCGTCTGCCCATTCATTCATTGGAATCCTACTCTATGCCTACCAGACATGCACTGAGCTAGGAGTTAAGGATGTGGCAGTGAGCAAAGGCAAGAATATTCTGCACGAGGAACAAGCAACAAATATTTCAGAGAGCCATGGAGGAAACATGGTAAAAGCCAGTAATGGGGGTGTGGGTGATGGGGCCTGGGGGTGAGGGAAGGTCCCCTCAAGGAAAGTCACAGAACAAGAGACTGCCACGCAAAGAGCTGGTAGGGACATGACGGCAGGGCAGTTACTTCTGTGATTGACAGGGATGAAGAAGGAGCAGACAACTTAAGGAACTTGCCAAATGACACTCAGACCAATCAGGACCCAGGGGGCGACCACCCACCCAGCTCTGGCTCTGATTACCAGATAAAATAGTGGAAGATGGGGTCAGAGAGATAGTATAGTAGGTAACTGTAAGCGACTAAGCCAGGTTTGATCCATGGTACTGCAGGTGGGTCCCTGAGTACCAATGGTGATGTCCCAAGCCATAGAGCGACTGACAGATAGGAACAAAGAGGAGGCAAGCCCTGTGCATCCCAAACAGACACAGATGGAAGCCAGGCTCAGACTTTCTGAAGGAAACCTCCTACTGAGGTGATCTTCTGAGCCCCTTGTCATAAACTAAGTTCACTGGGCCAGTCCTGCCTCCACTAGGCCAAGCCAACACTGAACCCCCTCCATCATAAAATTTACTACAGAACCACACTGTGGTGCTCTGTGCCTGCCTTTGTGAGGGAGAGACCTACGGATCAGCACCTCAGAAGAGACCGGCAAAACAAGAGTGACAGACACAGCCCAAGTGCTGAGGCCACACTACACTTGGCCGTGCAGGTGTAAAGGCCACTCTGAGCACCTGCCTCCGAGATCACTCACGGGGCAAGAGCAAATGGGTTGACTGAACTTTCACAAGCAGAACATAAAGGGTTGAAGCAAGGGTGCATGTTTGAGGGCTAATCTGGTACTGTTTCACCCAGACTGTTTTTTCCAAACCAGGGGGAATGAATGGTGCAAAAACATATTCCCCGGAATACACAGGGTATCTGGTTCCCTGATCTTTGGAGCGCAGCCCTGAAAGAGTGAGTTCTCCAGGAAAGTTGCTCATCAGGGGAATGTGTATTTTAGATGATGAAGTAAGACATCACTGTCACTGCCAAACGCTTTATCTTTCTGCTCCGTGAATGGCTGCATCCGCACCTCAGCAACTCGCTCTCAAGAGGTTGGCAGCCACACAGAAACTAAAAGAGGACCTCACCCAACAAGCCCCGACACAGAAGACCGGCCCTCCAGGCCCGCTTCAAAGCCCTAACCCTTGCTTGTCACAGCTACTTAGCGCTTATCAAAGGCTCATTGGGGGGAAGTGATATTTAGGGAAAGATTATCTGAGAGGCTTGCTTTCCCTCTCCACCTACTCCCTGGCTGACTCAACTTCCAGGCAATCGGGGAGTCATGTGTTTGCTCACTGTTTTCTCCTATCTGAAAGAATCACATTTTCTAAGTTTACCTGTTAATTCTGGCCTCAGTTTTTAATCAAGAAGCACTGGATTTGAGCTTTTAATTTGGAGAGGCTGGCTGGGGTCACATCAGAGGTGCTCAGAGCTTACCCCTGGTCCTTTGCTCAGGGACCACTCCTGGAAATGCTTGGGGGATTACCTGGGTGCCAGGGATCAAACCTGGGTCCTCCACATGCAAGGCAAGTGCCTTACTGGCTGTACTATCTCTCTCGTTCTTCAAGGAACACTTGTTATGAACATTCCACACTTGTTATGAACATTCCAGGGTGCCATAAGACTAAAGACCTCTAATTTCGTGCCCTGAAGAATTGGTATGTGAAAAGCATAGACTATATCTCCCCTTTACGTGGTGCTCAACTTCAATCACAGTAGTCCTGGCCTTGAGTATGGCTTCTCAATGCTAACATACTTACTTTCTCCTTTCATGGAACACACTATTTTATTATGTACTCCCAATTACTTTTTTTAATATAGTAACACTATTTATATTACTTTGTGTATGCATGCATGAATATATATAGCATGCTTTTAGATATAAAATGGACTATATCAAACCTTTCAGAAGGAAGAAAGGTATAGGTATATTATTGAAATACAACTATAAATACAAATATATTATTGAAATTTCATTGAAATACACTTGCAACATGAATCCTACACATGAATTGGTAAGAACATACCACCATATTAATCACATAAAACTCTGGACTGGGGCTGGAGAGATTGTACATTGGGTAGAGCACTTGTCGTGCACACGGCTGACCCAGATTCGATCTCCAGCATCCCATATAGGCCCCCAGAACATCTCTAGGAGTGGTCCTTAAGTACAGAACTAGGAGTAAACCCTGAGCATTGCCAGGTCTGTCAAAACAAAACAAAACAAAAACTCCAGACCATAGCGCTTTGAAGAGGGGGCTGGATAATTCTCTCTATTTGACAGCAAACAGAGTAAACGCTACATAAAGGCCAAAGCAGGAACAGAATGGAAGCTGGGGCTATTCTGACACTTAATTCAGTATTATTCTCCACACGTCACTGCCAGGGAATCTGAGCGATTGTGTTCAAGCAGTTACCAACCTCCTCCCCGCTGGTTATCCGGTGAGCCAGATCTTTTAAGTTCCTCATCATCCTCTCATCCCGAAAATCATAAGGAAATGTTTCTGTCCATTCTGTCAGGAGTTGGAGGATCTTGGGTGCAATTTTTCTGATCTGGTTCTAGGAGAGAAAAAGAAAAACAAATCATCTTCAGCCAAAGCTATCACCATAGGCTTAAACAGTTCCCAACTGCATCACTAGAAACTAATGCAGTCCTTGGGCTTCAAAAAAAGCAGCTCAACTTCCCCCTGCCCCCAAGTCAAGTGCCAGAAGCTAGGGATCTTCTGAAGCATTATCAGTCTACCATTTTCTTAATACCATCCTCAGTTCCCTGAACAGAGCCAGGGTACCACTACCGCATGTCCAACTGTGAGTTAGGACATAGTTGAGTCCTGGAAGGAAATCAGCTCCACAAAATCAAAGTCATTCAGTTACCAAAGCTAATAGGAAGAATAACAACAACAACAACAACAACAACAACAACAAAAAGTCAACCACAAAACACATCATTACCTTCTCACCATCCGAGTCACTCAGCCGCTGGTGCTCCACACATAAGTGGCAGACTTTGGCCATGAGTTCATACGGATGCATGAACAGCCGAGAACTGAGCAGGAAGGTAAATATGTACGTTCTCTGTGAAAAAGGGGGAAAAAAAATCATCACGGTGACTTTCTCTCTGAAACTCTCCTTATCTTATATACGTCATTTCATTATATTCTCTTGACGGAAGTGAGTCTGCCACAGCTTCAAAAGTGATGCCTATTAGTGTGAAATGGAAGGAAGATGGGTTTCTTGTTTGGCACCTGCTGTCTTTTCCTTTAAGCCATACTAAAAAGGACGGAAATGTTGCTCCTCAAATTACTCGCAATACGATGTGACAACTGGGAGCTCTGCTATTCACAGCAATCTGCTGTGGATTCCCTCTGGGAGAGAAGAATGACTCCCTCTAGGAAAGCACACACCCAGGCTCCCCATCAAACCCAAGCATACCACCTGCATGGCACCCCGGTCTACGTCCGAATATTTTTTTTTTTTGGCTCACACCCTAACTGTATCACTGAATCAGTTAGGACTGTATCACTGGGTTGGAGTGATAGCACAGTGGGTTGGGCGTTTGCCTTGCACGCAGCCAACATGGCCGACCCGGGTTCGATTCCTCCGCCCCTCTAGGAGAGCCTGGCAAGCTACCGAGAGTATCTCGCCCGCATGGCAAAGACTGGCAAGCTACCCGTGACGTATTTGATATGCCAAACACAGTAACAACAAAGTCTCATGATGGAGATGTTACTGGTCCCGCTCGAGAAAATTAATGAACAATGGGAGGACAGTGAGAGTGACAGTGACCCAGTGATACACAGGGGTTACTCCTGTCTCTGCACTCAGGAATGACTCCTGACAGTGCTTGAGGGACCACAGGAGATGCTGGGAATTGAACCCGGGTTGGCCACGTGCAAGGCAAACGCTCTACCCGCTGTGCTATAACTCTAGCCCCACATCCAAATATTAGTGTAACTCAATGGAAACCACAGAGACACCCGCCCACGGCAGCTGGGAAGCACACTGGCGCGTCTGGCCGTTCTTGTCTCAACAGTCAAGGGCAAGCTCGCACATAAACTTACTTAACTCACTCAAAGGCTGAGCCTCTGCATGGTGCACAATATCACACTATATACTTTTCTTTCACCCCATTGTCTCCTAAGAAGCCAGCAATAAAGTAGTGCTTATTTGTGATAATGGCTTCAGACTCCCCATGAAAAGAAAAATTCCACGATTTTCCCCGCCTACTCCAACCCCCCCCCCCCCCCCCCCGCAGCCCCTCAGGCGTCTTGGAGCTCATAAACACTTAAAGAGAGTTGAACAAGGGCTCCTTTGACGTCTGATGACAACTCTTCCCTGTGTGGCTGCATATAGGAAAACTACCATCTAACAAGACACATACAGAGATGGCTCGGTAAGAAACGTGACAGCGAGGGACTGTGGCTGCCACAACTATCCTTTGGACACCGAGGTTGTTATTCTGTTTAAAAAAAAAAAGCTGTATGACTGCTCCACAGCTGGAAGCCTGCCTTATGAGCGGGGCGGGGGTGGGGGAGAAGGCAGCTGGGATAGAGAAGGGATCGCTAAGAAAATGATGGTTGGAGGGATCGGTCGGGATGGGAGATGTGTGCTGAAAGTAGATAAAGGACCAAATGTGATAACTTCTCTGTATCTGTGTTGCAAACCATAATGCCCAAAAGTACAGAGAGAGAGAGAGCATGGGGGAGATTCTCTGCCATAGAGGCAGGGGGGGGGTGGGAAAGGGGAGGGTATACTGGGGACATTTGTGGTGCGGAATGTGCACTGGTGGAGGGATGTGTTTGATCATCAACTTAAACATGTAACTGTAATACAGTAACTCAGTAAAATAAAAAAAAAAGCCATATGAAACTAGAATGCCAGAGTTTCATGAACTCTTTATCAGCAAACAGCTAGTTCATAGCCAGGACAGCCGTAGCACAGGGAAAATGGGGTGGGGCCGGGGAGGTGTGGAATATCACTTTCCCTGAAAGAGAGAGCTGGGTTTCATTCCCAATGCTGAGCGCGTGAAGGTGTTACTCAGCACTCGCGATTTCTGCTTTTTCCACTCTACCATCTCAGAGTTACTGTGAAGACTGTAACAACAGTAATAAAACCCCAGTGAAGTCCCTAGATTATGAAAAGCATTATGAGTATAAATGTCTCAGCAAAGTTGAACTCGAGCACATGTCGTCTGCTGTCCAATCAGTGGAGAGCTGTCCCTTAAACAGAAACCTCATTCCCATCTCTACTGTAATGGTAGTGAAGACTACCTTCACTCTTCTCAGCCTGGGAAACAAGGAAGGTCCTAAGTATTCCAGAAGCATCCAGCATTCCCTGGCACCACTAGGACAGAAGTAGCTGTGCCTGGCCAAATGGAGTCCAATTGCCTATAAGATGGTATCCGCCTAAGAGAAAACTGAGGTGCAGACAACAACCCAAACTTGAACCATGCCCAAGCTGTATTTGATCTCCCAACACTCAATAATAGGAGAAATGTTGGCAAGCCAACATGATTCTGGGGGACCCAAGGGCAGGGTCCATGCTGAAGAACACATGGGGGTTTCTGCGGAATGCCCAGGAGAAGGCGGATACCTACATCTGGGTAATAATCCACGTTCGGTACCAAGTGCTGGATAAGTGCTTCCAGGGACCCGGACAGGAGGTTGTTGTCTTGGTAGTACAACCCTCCACAGCTGTCCTCCGAGGACTGATAGAGGTTCCGGTTGTATCCACTGCTGTCGAACATTGCCGAAAAGGGGGGAGTCTGAGGCATGCTCTCCTGAAAGGAATGGAAGAAAGCAAACACAACACATCCGTTAGATGCAGTCCCAAAGAAAAGCCAGCGTATAAAAGCCATGAGAGAAGAGGATACTGGGAAAGGAGTTCCGTTTCTAATATGACTACAGGAATCCAGGGGCCGGAGCAATAGCACAGTGGGTGGGGCATTTGCCTTGCACGCAGCCCACCCAGGTTTGGTCCCTGGCATCCCATCTGGTCTCCCGAGTACCACCAGCAGGAGTAATTCCTGAGTGCAGAGCCAGGAGTAAGCCCTGGGCACTGCCAAGAACGGCCTCCCCGCAAATGAAACAAAAAACAAACAAGCATATAAATCCATCAGGGACCATCTGCTCTTTGAGTGACACAGGGGCCCGCTTTTGAGCCAGAACCCAAATACACAGAATGTGAGAGTTGTAGCATCTGTACAGGCAGAGGCATATGTATCGTGGACTGTAAGGCTGACTGTGCAGCCCTCAGCTGAGTTTCACTGCACTGTGTCACCCTCTTTGGGGAGTGGGGTCTCTTATCAAGCTTCACCTCCATCAGCATGGGGGCTGAGCACAGGGTTGAGTGAGACATTCGCCTTGCAGGCGGCCCACCCGATCTGATGCCCGGCGCCAGAGTTCCTCTGAGGTCTGCCACTACTAGAGCAAGGAGTAAGCTCTCTCCCCCCAAAGAAGTAGATAAATGAGACCCGAAGGGGCACAGGGGTGGGGACTGCCCGGGCCAGGAGCCCAGCACAAAAATATCCCCACCTGTGTGAGTGTAAGGACCCTGTGGGCATGACCTCTGGCCATGGGAGACCCAAGAAGCAGGTGGCAACCGCCTTTAGGGAAAGAAACCTCCAGGAAGAGGGAGGTGGAGACATAGCCCAAGGCCACAGGAGCACAGAATGCAGGCAAAGGGCTCCGTGGGGGAAGGGACATGGGATCAAAGTGGGACTCCAGGATCTTGACCCCCCCCCTCCCGCTTTTGGCATCAGCTACGAACCCTGAAACGCTCAGGACCGGCTCACGGCTCCCTCTCATGGAGTCGGCGTGGAAAGCCATGAAGCGTTTGCACCTGTTGTTCCACAAAGTGGACAAGCATCTGACCTGGACAAATCCAGCAACACACACAGCCCAAAGACAAGGCATCTCTGGGCTCCCTCCAGCCTGAGCCATGCAAGATGGTCTCGGGCTTTTTGCTTTGGCTTTTGTTACTACTTTACCATAGACTCGAGTCTCTCCGATTCCTCTCTGGTCCTTCCGTATCTGCACATTCTCTGCCAGCCAGCCGGCCAGAGACGCTTCCCACACTCCAGCCTGAGAATCACTAGCTAATCATTAACTCCAGGAATCATTTGCTAATGATTTTCCTGCTGGTGGAGCGTAAATCCGCCACTATCCCACAGTGTCCGTTTCTTTATCGCAGTGTAGCTCTGATTTCTTCTTATCTGCGGCAAACCTCCTTGAAGCTCCTGCAATTAATATTTTCTTTCCCCGAAGCCCTTGATGATCCTCAGTTTACTCCTCTAGATCTTTCCAACCCAGTCTCAGAACCAGAACCACACACACCTCTCTGCCAGTCTTCAATCAGCACACATGTTGCCCAACCACATATACCTACAATCGGGGGAGGGGGTGGGTGGTTCCGCCAGTCAAAATCCTCCCTCAGGAACAACTGAGTTTTCTCTCTCTCTCTCTCTCTCTCTCTCTCTCTCTCTCTTTTGCTTTTGCTTTTTGGGTCACACCCGGCGATGCTCAGAGGTTACTCCTGTCTCTGCACTCAAGAATTACTCCTGGCAGTGCTTGGGGAACCATATGGGATGCTGGGAATCAAACTTGGGTCAGCCGCTTGCAAGGCAAATGCCCTCCCCACTGTGCTATCACTCCAGCCCCCAAAACTGAGTATTCTAAAAGTATAATATAGGACATCTAACATACTGGCATTAATATACTGGCGGTATATTAAATAGTGGCATTAATATCACGTTGGATTTTGATTGGCATTAATATATCATTATAATCAAATATCACAGTTTGATCCCTACCCCCATCAGAAGAATGAGAGCTCTATGAGGCCAAGTGACAGGTGCTGGATTTACTTAACTCACACAATCGGGACTGAAGGTCACTTTGGCTCACAACCAGTTTTCTCCTTCCCCAGTTCCATCTGTCAGCCAGCCCCTGAAAGTTCAGCTTGGATGCTCTCTGGTCACTGATTCTGTTTTTTGGGGGAAGATCACAGATCTCTCCCCTTCTCCCCAAGGGAATGTGCTGACCGCTGCACACACTTTCAGGGCATCCAGGGCTCCGAATGTTCTGGAAGCACATGTGCAGGCTATAGAGACTTGGATCCTAGTTCCCTAGTTCTCCCTCAAAGAAGAAAAGCATGGCTCAGGAGAGAAGCTCAGGAGAGCACTTTCCAGACTGTCTACTTAGGAGCGCATGAGAAAGCACAGCACGAGGGTGCTTGCCTTGCACGAGGGCAACCTGGGTTCGATTCCCGGCACCCCATATGGTTCTGGCACCCCAGAAGGCACAAGAGGCTGGGAGTGACCCCTGAGCACAGAACCAGGAGTAAATCCTGAGCACTCCCAGGAATAGTCTCCACAAAAAAAGAGACTATCTTCGCAGAGTGCAAAAAGTACTCGGATATGCAGGTAAATACCAGACAATTAAGGTTAAAAATAAATTTTTAGTGAATTTTTTGAACAAGTCTCACAATGTTACTAGGCTGGCTCGAGCAAATCGATGAAGAAAGGGAGGACAGTGACAGTGACAGTGACTTTTCTTTGGGGGGAAATAGAGAAACTTATGAAATGGGCATTTTTCCTCCCTCATACTCAGGCAGCACTTTGGGGTGGGGAGGATTCAGTGAAACTATAGAAGGACAAACGGGCTTTTATTGGGGGGGCTAGGAGGAAGTTGAACCACACCTGGCGTGCTCAGGGATCACCCATGGCAAGGCTTGAAGAGCCATTCGGGGTACTGGGGATGAAATCCGCATGGACCACATGAAAGGCCAGGACCTTAACCCCTGTACAACCTCTCCAGCCCCAGACCTGGGCTTTTAAAAACAGTGAACCAGACTAATAGACTCATTAGAGGCACCCACGTTAGCACAGGACTGATGGGTTTGGCTGGACTATTTCCCCAGCGGAAGTTTAAGGTCTACAAGATGAATGCTCTTTCTTGAAATTAACTTGGCGAGCTGAAAAGTTGGTTGACAGACAAGATAGCTTCCAGGGGCAGCTAATTCAGTCACAAAGATATTTCATGTTCTTCCAAGGACCCTGGAAAAAAAAAATTCAGCCTGACATTGATGGGGCAGCAAGCTTAGGGTGATTTAAGGGATGAATGGATTTGAAAGGCATGCCTAATGGTTTCAGATCCACTAAGGCAGCCGATGAAAAGCTGCCTGTCCCCCAACAGAGGACAATGTTTGAATTAGGGACTGTGTTTTGCACAGTGTTATTTATGAGGAGGCAGGTGCATGGGGCTGAGGTGGTTTCAGGTGACTCAAATTGGCAAAGAGTTGTGAGCTGGGGAGGGCAGGGGATGGCAGAGGGAAAGAAAGCAAAAGCAGTCACACAACATCTGCACCAGGTGCTGCAGAAATCGCTTATCTGGGTGTCAGCTCAGCATTTCCTTTACACGGAAGAAGAAGAAAAAAAAAAGAGCAGAAGTTGAAGAAAAAAAGTCAGGGGTCAACTCCTATTTCACTATTTCGTTAGGAAGCGCTTGGGTGGAATATTAACAAATCCAATGTCATTCTATTGATCACACATGCTGGGCATGTGTCCCAATTGGAAAAAAAAAAAACCACCTCTCTGGAAGAGGAAGGCCCATATCACAGCTGAACTTTGAAAGCATATTTATTCAGTGAGGAGAGGCTTGATCTTGTACCCTATAAATTCCTGGTTCCTCAATTCCCACGGAGATTTCAAAGGAACTTTGCACTTCGCTGAGCCACCTTCTCTGCCTCCGTGAGGCTCCAGACATTGGAGTTAGAAAGAGGACACAAAGTCCAGTCGGCCTCCAGCTGGTGGCCTTCACCCTCCGTGGGCAACGCTCGCTCCAAGAATACAGCGATTGTCTCCCAGCTCCAGTCCGATCTAAACAGGAGTTTGCATTCCGGTGCCAGAGAAAGTCACGTTTCCAGAGGTGTTCAAAAATGGGGCTCGTTTGGAGTGTGACAGGGTCTGGGAGATTCACTTCTCGTTTTGTTCTTCAACCAGAAGGCGTCTTTACACCAGAGATTTTTAACAGCATCTCTGGAAACGGAGGGATAGTTCACCTCAAACAAACTTCCTTGCCCACAGGGGCAGTGTGTGGAGAGTGCACACAATACACGCAGAAGACTCAGAATCAACCCATTCCTCTGGCAGGCAAACAGAGTAACTCCCAGATAAGTTCCTTCTTTGGAACAGAGCCCCAGGTGCTGAGGAATTTTAACTTTTAGTCAAGGCGGAAAAATCAGTACATGCTCGAGCAAATCACGTTTTACTTCTCATCACTGAGGACATGTTAGTATTTTACTGGTTACTGAAAAAAACAAAAAATGAATTTTTTTTGGCCTGGCTCAGTTATGCTATTATTATCTTCTGATATTATTATATTATCTATGGAAACACTATGTTAGATGTTATTCTCTCCCCCCCGCCCCCCCAAAAGACTTGACCAATTACTCATTGGTGGATAAAAGAGATTCTGACTCATTATTTTCAGTTTCTCTGGAAAAAAAACAAAGCTAAGATTTGTCATCTTTTGTTTTAGGAACACCTTGTTAGTTTATTAAAAATGAAACGACATTCAAGGACATGGAAATTCTAAAAGGGCCTGGAGAGTCACTTAAAACGTTGCTCTGAGGGAAAACTTGATTGAACAAGAACTGAACACAGAACCCGTTGACTTCAAACGTTGCTAAAAAACGTTTAAGGGGTGTGGGGGGGGGGAGAGGGGGCGGGGAGGCGCAGAAAGAGTAACAACTTGGGTGCAGTTTCTGAATTGAACAGTA